AGAAAAGAAAAATAAATGAAACCAAAAATTATATAAAATAAATAAATGGGTGCTATCACAAAAGAGAATATGAAATTGTCAATTTAGACACCCAGGACCAGCCCCGGGACAAGAAAAAAAGTGAGTGGTGCTTTTTTTTTTTGTCTTCTTAGATGGGTCCCAGAGGAAGGGATTGAGAGGTCTTGTAGGGGGCTTGGGGGGGTTGTCTCCTGCTAAGCCCCCCTGAGGCCAAGACCCATCAGTCAGTCAATGATTTGGACTCAGCCAGGGATGGTCCAAGCACAGAAATGAAACCAGCGACAAAGAAATGCGGGTGCATTTGGCCGCTGGAAATATAACGGAATATAGGGGTCCCGCAGTGCTGGGGGCCGGGCGGCGGGGGGGGGGCACTCTGCCAGGCCAACTGAGTCCAAAGTCAAGCAGGATGGCGCCCGCCCGGGTGGGGCTGAGGGAAGGAAAATTCTAGAGTGATGACAAGCCTGTGGGTCTCAGAACTGAAGATGCCACGAGAGCGGGTGATTTGGGGTGGCGGGCAGGGGGTCCCGCCAGAGGGTCTTGCACCCCTTGACGGGGTCGGGGGGGGGGGTTGTCGCTGTCAACCTGTGGCCCAGCCGTGGATGGTTCCAGTCTAGGGACGGGCAGAAGGTCCTGCGGCTTCCTGGGAAGGTGGAAAGGACTGGGGAGCACCACAGGCCGCCACCAGGGCGGCCACCAAGGTGGACGCAGAAATGTCCTGAGACTGCTGAGACTGGAGAGAAAAAGGACCAAGAAAAACCAGGAGGGGCTGGAGTGACAGCACAGCGGGGAGGGCGTTGGCCTTGCATGCAGCCCACCCGGGTTCGATCTCCGGCATCCCATAGGGTTCCCCGGAGCACCGCCAGGAGTGATCCCTGAGTGCAGAGCCGGGAGTCAGCCCTGAGCATCGCCGGGTGGGACCCATACAGCAATCAATCAATCAATCAATAAAGAGTGATGAACCAGGAACCCGGGTAATAGTACAGCAGGGAGGGCGTTTGTCTTGCACGCGGGCAACCCAGGTTCGATCCCTGGCATCCCATAGGGTCCCCCGAGCCCCGCCAGGAGTGATTCCTGAGTGCAGAGCCGGGAGTCAGCCCTGAGCATCGCTGGGTGGGACCCAAAAAGCAAAAAAAAGAAAAAAAAATTAAGGGGACAGATACCAGGAGAAAAGGGAAGACGCCTGGGGGGTGGGTGGGGAGTCTTTGGCAGGGTCAGGCTCACGTGTGTCCCCCCCAGAACAGAACACCATGAAGAGCGAACGTGTGTTTAAACTTATTTAAATTCAGAAACAGGTTTGGTTTGGGAGGGGACACAGGCAAGACGGACGTTTGGGGAAAGGAAAGAGGAAGGTGAGGTGGTTGTTTTCTCGAGTGTTCTGTGATGTGACACGGGGGTCACGGGGGTCACAGGGGAACTTCGTCCTGTCCTCTCCAGCGCTAGCAAAATCTATCCTCTGCTCTGTGGGTAACCACATCCCCAGTCTGCCGGTGACCACAGCCCCGGTCTGCTCACGACCACGTCCCCTGGGCCCACCGGTTTCCCAATCACTCATGGGACACTCAGCAGACAGGAAACAGCCCAAGTGGACACTGTACTCAGGGCACCAACAGCTCTCTGAGGGGGGTTCCCACGTGAGTGTCCACCAGCCTCACTGTCCAGGGCCCAAGACGATGCTATAGGGACAGGCCACGGACCACGTGGCCACGGGTCCTCATTCTGTGGCCGAGAGGCAGTGTTTTGACCTCGAGGTACGGGGCGGGTCCCTCTGGGGGTCAAGAGAGGGGACCAGAAGGCCAGGGCTGCCGGGCGAGGGCGCTGTCACCCGGTGGTCCTCACTCAGATGATGCGGTGATGCCTGGTCACGTGTTCCGAGCATCCTGGCTCCTGTGGGCGCCGCCGCTGGTCACCCCGGCCCGCAGGTCTCTGCGCACGATGAGATACAGGCCCGTGTCCACGGCCAAGAGCAGGGCGGTGGCCAGGCAGAGAATAACGTGGACCCCAGGCAGAGACGTGGAGTCTATCGGGGGATGGAGGGAATGAGGGTTATTTTGTGGAGGGGACCAGAATGAGCCCTCCCCTCCCCCTCCTCTGCCTGGAGCGATGGTTGTGTTTTGGTTTGTTTTTTTTTTAATTTGGGGGGTCACACCAGCGATGCTCAGGGCTGACTCCTGGCTCTGTGCTCGGGAATCACTCCTGGCGGTGCTCGGGGGACCCTATGGGATGCCAGGGATCAAACTTGGGTCGGCCCCTTGCAAGGCAAGCACCTTCCCCTATACGGTCCTCCTGGACACATTTATATTCTTATTTTTTTTTTGGTTTTGTTTTTTGGGGTCAAACCCAGCAATGCTCAGGAATTACCCCTGGCGGTGCTCAGGGGACCATATGGGATGCTGGGAATCGAACCCGGGTCGGCCGCGTGCAAGGCAAACGCCCTCCCCGCTGTGCGATCGCTCCAGCCCCTATATTCTTATTTTAAGCCTGGAAAGTACACGAGAGATTCGGCGCAGGCTTTGCGCTGCCGGGAGGGACCCCCGAGCACCAAGCCAGGAGCAGCTCCCGGGCACAGCCAGGTGTGACTGAAAACAAAAAGGAGAGTCAGATATAACACTGTGTTTTGTTTTGCATTCTGTATTGTTTTGTTGGGGGGGGGCACAGCTGGAGGTGTGCAGGTTACTCCTGATTCAGTGCTCATCCCGGTGGGATGCCGAGACCACGTGTAAGGCAAACGCCCTTCCTGCCGTGCTCTCACTCTGTTTTTGTTTTGTTTTGTTGCTTTTTGGGTCCCACCCGGCGATGCACAGGGCTGACTCCCGGCTCTGCACTCAGGAATCGCTCCTGGCGGTGCTCGGGGGACCCTATGGGATGCTGGGAATCGAACCCAGGTCAGTCACATGCAAGGGAAACGCCCTCCCCGCTGTGCGATTGCTCCATCCCCCGAGTAACAGGTTTTAAGAGCAGAAAGTTTTGCCCAAGCTGAGCTCGTGCCACCAACAGACTGGCCATCTAGGGACACCTCAACTCTCTGCCCGGCCAAGCAATCCCCAGTGGCCTCTGCCCATTGGTCCGGCCGCTCTGGGGAAACCCAGTCCCAGGGAAGGAGGGGTCTGCGGTCCCTGAGTTTTGGGGGAAATCCTCTGAATTTTCCTTGGGATGTTTTCTCGACCAGGTGCTTCTAGAAGTTTCTCATGTCCGTGGAGAGGAGAGCAGGGGAGCCCAGTGCCCATCCCACGCCCTTCCACGCCCCCTTCTGTGGCCTCCCGACAGTGCTGTCGTGTGCAAAGCCGTGAGAACTGAACCAGGGAATCCCCTGGGCCCCACAACTCTCTTGTTTTTTTTGTTTGTTTGATTTTTGCTTTTTGGGTCACACCCGGCGATGCACAGGGGTTACTCCTGGCTCTGTGCTCAGGAATCACTCCTGGCGGTGCTCGGGGGACCATATGGGATGCTGGGAATCGAACCCGGGTCGGCCGCGTGCAAGGCAAACACCCTCTCCGCTGTGCTATTGCTCCAGCCCCTCACAATTATCTGGGCCCAGGACCGGGGTCAACTTATAAAGTGAGGAGTAAGAGAGAGAGAGAGAGAGAGTCAGTCTGCTGGACTTCGGTGGCCACTCAGGGGAGCAGGTCCCCCCCCCACGCCCCCTCCCACCACCATGTCCCCTACCCAGGCTTGAAGTGTCCTGGTGGCGTCCTCGGACGGAGATGGCCACGGGCGGCGAGGTGTGGACCCCTCTCCCGATGAAGCCCCGACAGCGGTACTTGCCGCTGTGGTTGATGTTGGCCTGCAGGATGGAGAAGTTCTGGTTCCTGGAGGAAAAATGCTTGGACACTGTGTCCTGGTAGAAGGTGATCTTGGTCAGGGGCTTGTTCCTCCAGCTGTGGCACCGCAGCACGATGGGGTCCCCCTCCCGGAACTCCCGCGCGGGGGTCTGCAGCAGCAGCCAGTCTGGGGGGACACGGAGAGGGGACATGGAGGCCGGGCCCCGAGAGGGGAAACGGGGCCAGAGGTGTACGTGTGTGTGTGTGTGTGTGTGTGTGTGTGGAGTCCTGGGGGGGGGGGGGGGGGGACAGACCTTGAACCTTCCAGAACCTTCCTAGGGGAGGCAGAGAAGCTAAGGACGTGAGCCCTGCCGGGGTTGGTCCGGTCCCAGCCCCTCCCCAAAGTGCGGCTGGCCACCCCAGGGTGGACCCCAAGGTGCCAAGCGCTCAAGGGGGGCTTTTGCTCACAGTCAAGGGGCCCCCACGGACCTGAGACCACAGCCAGCCGCACGGGGTCACTGAGGCGGCTGTGGCCAGTCTGGCAGCTGTAGTTCCCGCTGGCCTCGCTGGTGGCCTGGAAACTCAGGCTGTGCTGGCCCTTGGCGCCCACGGAGTTGTTGTTGTGGAACCAGTGGGTGCTGGGGTCCCCCCTGGCCCTGGGGACCCTCGCAGCGGAGCGTCACCTGGTCCTCCCGGAGCACGTTGATCCAGGGTGGGTCGAGGGTCACCTTGGCCTTGGGGAGCACTGCAGGGGGACAGGGAGAAGAGCCCAGAAACCCAGAGGCACCCCAAGTGGGGTGAGACCCCAGTTAGGAGGCATGAGAGGGACCAGCCAGGGCCGGGAGGGAACTTCAGAGTTGGGGTTCACCCCGGAGCACCTCCGATCTCCGGCTCTGGGGGTCCTCCTGGAAGGAGAAGCTTCTGTCTGTCCCTCCCAAATCGGGGTGTCTGCCCAGGGGTCTCGGGGAACTGACCACTCACCAGCCCCGTCGTCCGCAGAGGCTGAGGAGAGAGGAGGGAGAGGCAGAGAGCAGGGCTGGGGGCTTGCCAAGGGCCCCCCAAGTCCCCCTCCCGTGTGCCCCGCGAGGTCACAGTCGGAGCGACCCTCTCTCACCCCACAGCTGCCAGGCGGTCAGCAGAGGAAGCAGGCACAGACCCGAGGGCCGCATGGCCGGGGTGGCCCCGAGCTGCCGCCAAAGGCCCCGGGTTTCAGAAAAGCAGAAGGAAACGATTGCTTCCACCGACACGACGCCTTTGTCCTCAGAGAGGAGCTGACCCTGCAAGCCATGGCCCTGCCCCCGCCCCGGGGTGGCCAGGGGCAGTGCTGACTGTCACCAGTCACCCTTGATTGGCCCCCCAGGAAATCCCAGGCCCCTCCCCTTCTCCTCCCTGCCCTCATCTCGGCCTTTCTTGGAAAACGGGGGTTTCTCCCCCCTCCCCAAGTCTCATTACCCCTCTTCCCTCCTCAGCTCAGGGGGGCATACACCCCACTTTGCAAACCGTCCCCACACATACACATTCTGAGTTCTTCCTCCTCATCATTTTTTTTATTGTTACTTTTTTGGGGCCCTCCCGTTGATCATCGATTTGCTCGAGCGGGCCCAGTAACGTCTCCATTGGAGACTTTGTTGTTACTGTGTCTGGCATATCGAATACTTTTACTTTACTTTTTGGGGGGGGGCCACACCCAGCAGTGCTCAGGGGTTACTCCTGGGTCAGTGCTCAGGGGTCTCTCCTGGTTGGATTCATTCTGGCAGGGCTGGAGGGTATCAGACCCCATTCAAGATTGCAGAGCGAGGTTCATATTCATGAACGTTTAATAAATGTTTGGGGGTGGAGTTTATGCAAAATTCAATCAGCCTAATCAGCAGCTGAATATTTTTTTAATGTACTCCTACATTAAAAAAAAAAAAAGAAAAATTAAGTTTGGAGAGGCTGGAGCAATAGCACAGCGGGGAGGGCGTTTGCCTTGCATGCGGCTGACCTGGGTTCGATTCCCAGCATCCCAGAGGGTCCCCCCGAGCACTGCCAGGAGTGATTCCTGAGTGCATGAGCCAGAAGTAATCCCTGTGCATCGCCTGGTGTGACCCCCTAAATAAATAAATAAATAAATAGTTGGATGGTGTCTGCATGCCTTCCGTGGAATTTCAAGGTTCTCTTTCTCTGTTTCAGACATTTTTATGGTTCCAAGGAACTGTTGACTTATCTGCTGACCCAGACTTTAGGAAACAGAAGGCCGGGTCTGGGCGGTTCCCGGCGTGGGTGTCCTTGGCCCAGACACCACCCGGACACGCCCTTAAGCTCAGCCTCCGGCCGTCCACCCTGACAGCTGTGCCCAGGAGGCGTCAGGATGGCCGAGCGGTCTAAGGCGCTGCGTTCAGGTCGCAGTCTCCCCTGGAGGCGTGGGTTCGAATCCCACTCCTGACATGCGATTATTTTTTTTTTGCGCCTCAGCCTGGCGCGCTCTGGGCCCCATTACGTCCACCCCCTTCTCGTGGCCGCAGACCCAGTGTCCAGCAGGCGGCCAGCGCCCTAGTAAGGTGAGAGCCCAGCGCGCAGGGCCCACCACGGCTCTGCATCAGCTGAGATCACTGTTTCTTGCTGGATACAGATGGGGGCCCACACGTCCTGCCCGTGGGATTCAGGAGCGGGGAAGCCCACGGGGGGTGGGGGTCGTGGTTAAGTCATAAATGGTCGTACATGTCCAGTTGCAGCCAGGGAACACCTGTCCATCCCCGAGGAGCACCCGAGATACCAATACAGGGTCACACGTAGGATGCACAAGCAAGTCCAAAATCAGATGCATGGGTGGTTCAGTGGTAGAATTCTCACCTCCCACGCGGGAGACCCGGGTTCAATTCCCGGCCCATGCAATCAGCATTTTATTTTCTTATTTGGTTCCACCCCGGACACTGGAAAACGCCCTTTACCGGGCTTCTCGAACCTTCTTGCCAGCAGCACAGAAGTGTCGCTGTTTTGGGAGTGGACGTCAAGGAAGAGGAAAAATGAGAGTCTGAGGCTCGGGGTCGCGCGCGCGGGGAGAGGGGGTGCGCGCGGAGATTCGGGGCGACTCGTGGGGAAAAAGAAACCTGCAAAAACGGAATGCTTCCCTGACCGGGAATCGAACCCGGGCCGCGGCGGTGAGAGCGCCGAATCCTAACCACTAGACCACCAGGGAGCGCGATGGACTTTGCCCGCGCGCCCAGATGGACGCTGCGCTCTGGCTGCGCTCCCAGCCAGAGTCCCCGGGCCCGAGTCCACGCCCTGCGCCCGCGTCCCAGCGTCCACCCATCCCCGCGTCCCCTTGTCCCCGTGTCCCCGCTCCCCGCGCCCTGGAACGAGGCTCTGTCCACGCCCGGGAGCGGCCGCTGCGCGCAGGGCGCACGGGGGGGACCCGCCTGGCTACGCGCACGCCGCCGGCCGCTCCTGGTGGACGCATGCCCCGGTGGACAGCGTCAGGATGGCCGAGCGGTCTAAGGCGCTGCGTTCAGGTCGCAGTCTCCCCTGGAGGCGTGGGTTCGAATCCCACTCCTGACACAGTTCCTATTTTTTTTTGCCGATCTGGGTCCCCTGAATTCTTGCCGCGGGCGCAGCTGGAGACCCCGACACTCCCGTGCTGGGGTCGCTCGGGGGGTTTCTTGCAAACGCCCCAGCTTGGGGCATCGCCTCTGGGGACCCTGGTTTCCTGGGAGCAGCTGGACCCTCGAGTCCTCGAGGCCACCTCGGGTGGCAGATGTGAGCGGCGGGGGGCTTGTAAGCTGGGACTGAGTGTCCACCAGGGCACTGACCCCGCTCCCGCCGCTACCTCCCACCCCCACTTGGACCCGGGGGTCCCCATCGGGACGCCTGGGCCGCCCCTACCCGGGCGAATTTCCAGCCGGACGTTGGGGACACGCCCCGGGATGATGCTGGACTGGCAGGGAAATGCCCTGTCCACCCCCGCGGGAGCAGCCGTGACGCCCAGGCGGCTGGATACGCCCGTAGGCTGGACGAGCAACATCCTGGACAGATGCATGGGTGGTTCAGTGGTAGAATTCTCGCCTGCCACGCGGGAGGCCCGGGTTCGATTCCCGGCCCATGCAGTTAATTGCGTTTTTGCTCCAAACTTTCTTTCCAGCAGTGCGTGGACGCCAGACCCCATGCCAGGCCCGCACCCTTTAGAATATTTACCAGTAAAATCCCTTCTCTCCCCTCAGCCTGGCTTTAATACCTCCGGCCCAATTTAATCTATTTTTTTCTTACCTCCTTATTTCTTTGGGGGATGGAGTGGGAATATTTCTGTCCCCCTGATAACTGGCGCCTAGTGGTGGATGACACTTCTGGTGGGTGGTACCCAGCCGGATGGGCGTGCACGTAGCATGGACGAGCAGAAAATGGAGCACAAAATGAAATGGGCAGTAACGGCGCAAAATAGAACTTCCCTGACCGGGAATCGAACCCGGCCCGCGGCGGTGAGAGCGCCGAATCCTAACCACTAGACCACCAGGGAGTGCGAATGCAGTTTCCTGTGTTGCCCACTTGACGTCATAGAAAGCCCCGCCCTGCTCGCCCTGCCCAGCACCCGGTATTCACTTGCAGCCCGCGCGACCCCTGCGTCACCGTGTCCGACTGTCCCCGCCGTTCCTGCACCCCGGATGCCGCTGCGTGGCCGCAAGTGCAGCGCGATGCGCCCCTGGAGGGCAGTTCTGCTCGTGCCCCCGTGTCCTGTCCGCGCGTGCTGCCCTGCGTCGGAGGGGGACGCGGTCAAGGATGCAGCCACCAGAGATGTAGAAAGATGCAGAAAAGCACAGAGAGATGCATGGGTGGTTCAGTGGTAGAATTCTCGCCTGCCACGCGGGAGGCCCGGGTTCGATTCCCGGCCCATGCAGTTAATTGCGTTTTGCTTCAAACTTTCTCTCCAACTGTGAATGGACGCCCAGATCCTATCCCTGGCCCGCACCCTCCAGATATTGACCATTAATATCCCTTTCTTCATCCCAGCCTGGCTTTAATACCTGCAGTCCATTTTAATCTATTTTTTTCTACCATTTTATTTTCCTTTGGGGGGATGGAGTGGGAATATTTCTAGTCCCCTAATAACTGGCGCCTAGTGCTGGGTGACACTTCTGCCCCCCACCTCCTTGGTGCTCGCCCCTGCGGGACATTTCCGCTCTCCACCCCGTGGACATCTGATGGTGGGGGTCATTTCTGTCCCCCACATCGCTGATGCCTCGTACTTTTTTAATTTTTTAATTAATTTCTTACTTTTTTATTTTTTTGCGGGGGTCGGGGGTGGGGTGGTAAGATGACTTGAGGGTTTGGTTCTCAGAACAAAACGTTCTGTCCAAGCTCAACCTAAATCAGTGGACAACGGATCCGCTTCTACCCCATTCCATTAAAGAGAAAAAAACAAAATTTCCACGTCACCTCCCCGTCGGGGAATTGAACCCCGGTCTCCCGCGTGACAGGCGGGGATACTCACCACTATACTAACGAGGACGGCTGTGTCTCTTCCTGGAACGGCGTCTCCCACCTGCGTCGCGGAGTCCGGACACTGAGCGAGCAGCAGAGGGCGCTGCTGACCCGGGAACTGGCTGCGAGCAGGGCGGTCAGGCCAGCGGATGTGGGGACGGTGAGTTCACTGTGTTCGCAGGAGACTCAAGGGCGGGGGGAAAAGCAGCGGGATCGGAGCCTCCTGCTTGCCGCTGCAGTGCCCAGGGTGAGGTGCAAACTACGGGACTCAGCCCTGCCCAGGCCAGTGTCGCCGGAGCTCGGTGGCCTCTGGTCTCCAAGACGTGCAACAATGTATCTTGTATCACTCCCTGGTGGTCTAGTGGTTAGGATTCGGCGCTCTCACCGCCGCGGCCTGGGTTCGATTCCCGGTCAGGGAACGTGAATTTTTTTATACTCTGCACCTAGAAATTTCATTTTTACATAGCACCCCTAGTGGCAACCCCCACCGCTCGTAACTGCCACCCGACTGGAGGTCTTCCTGGCTCGTACCGGGGAGGGTCCGGCACTGGATAAGCCTCTTCACAATCCTTTATCCGTGTCCCCCGCTGGCTTAGCTTGCTGACAGCGCACAGGGGCGCACGCGCAAAAAGAGATAGTAAGGTACTGGAAAAATGTGTAAAAGAAAAAAAAAGTAAAGTGTGTGAGGTACTGCATGGGCCGGGAATCGAACCCGGGCCTCCCGCGTGGCAGGCGAGAATTCTACCACTGAACCACCCATGCATGTATCCAAA